CACCTTATGTATTTTTCTGGTAGCAAAAAGCTAAGCAGGGCTGGGCCGGATGAGAGATGACCAGGAAATAACAGGACTATAGGTGAGATTGGAAAGCTAGGGAAAAAAAATTCTAAGTATGCAGTGACAAGCCACTTCTGTAATATTGCTAAGCAAACTAGAGGTATCCGCGAAAACCATCAGGAATTGAGTTTTACTGGACTTTAATTTTCTTAATGGATTATTCTCAACACATTGGAGGTGAAGCTGTCTTAGAAGTTTCCATTGTAGAATGGATTAGACTTGGGGAGAAGAAGAAATAGCATTAGTAAAATAGTACTATTGCTATAACATATGAAGAATGATTGCAGGAACTGGGTATACCTAGTCTAATGAAAAGAAGGACCAACCTATTTACCAAAGCACCTGAAGGCAGGACAAGAAACTATGGATGGAAACTAATCGAGGGAAGCAATCTAGCTAAGGAGAAAATTCAGAATCAACCAACCGGTGGATCAAATTGCGTTCGGAAATTGTGGGTGCCCCATCACTGCAGGCTTTTAAGAAGAAACTGGACAACCATTTGTTAAAAATAGTATAGCTTTCCTGCATGAGCAGGGGGATGGACTAGATGACCTCCAAGGTAGCTTCAATCTGTTACTGTTAAGGTCATGAATACATGGATATTTGTTACAGGATACATTGAACAAACACTACACTGCCTGTTTGGACAGCACAAATTTATATTTATGGATCTATGAAAAAGCATATTCTTTTCAAACATTACTGGTATAGCAACCAGCACTTTCTAAACCTTAACAGGTAGATAGATGAGTAATTTCTGCTGAAATGCAGAAACACTTTTCTACAGTTTTGGGGTAGTTTCCATATTTGCTTGTCCTCATTATGCTTCCTTCCTGTCTCACTTCAGTAGTTAAGTGGAACTACACTGCATAAAAAAAATTACAACTTTAGCTGTTTAGAAAGATTGTTTTTTTAAAAAACATATATTTAGCTGGAAAAGTACTATATACAATGCAGAATTGGTTGTTCTAGAGTTTGCATGCTGGTTGGCAAAACGTCTATATTTTTCCATACGCTATATGATAATCTGCACAAAAATACCATAAATAGACAATTCTAGACGTGGTTGTAAGGAAATGGCAGATGCTAGTCACACATGGCAGAAGATGTAACCTTGTTATTTTGAGAGCTCCCCAGAGTTTGGAATATGGTGGGTGGTTATATAAATGTTTTAAATAAATAAAAAAATTAATAAAATTGTTTTTTTATAACTGGTGGAAATTCTTATGGCTCAGACTTCAGACAGAATCATAACCTTTACAATGGATCTTCACCATTAAATAATTAAGATGGTCTCTTAAGAAAACAGTTGCAGACTGAACTGAGAACAAAGTCATGCTTTCAAAATACAATTCTAGAATCAGAGAATAATCTACATAAAGAAGCAGCCTGACTCAATTTTACACATGCTTGACTAAATATGTCAAAATAGTTTTTCTCTAAGGCAAGGGTTTCAGACTCAAGGCCCGCGAGCTGCATGCAGTGCTTAGATCTGGCCCGCAGGGCTGTCTTGGAAACAGTGAAGGATTGGCCTGTGGTGCCACTGCCAGCGAAAATGGAGGGCCACATGCAGCCTTCCTGAGCTCTATTTTCGCTGGCAGAGGGTTGCAGGAGACCATCACAGTTGAAAATGAAGCATGGGAGTCCACTGGCAGAGTGCTTGGGCCGCCACAGGTGTGCCTGACATGAATTTTAACAGAGGGATATAATCAAGATCAAGTGAGGTACTAATACCACTCTATAAAGCCTTAGTAAGACCACACCTAGAGTACTGCATCCAGTTTTGTTCACCACATTATAAAAAAAATGTTGAGACCCTAGAAAAGGTACAGGGAAGAGTAACCAGGATGATTAGGGGATTGGAGACTAAAACATAGAACGGTTACAGGAACTGGGCTTGGCTAGTCTAGTGAAGAGAAGGACCAGGGGAGACATGATAGCAGTCTTCCAGTATTTGAGGGGCTGCCACAGAGAGGAAGGGGTCAAGCTATCTTCTAAAGCAACTGTAGGCCAGACAAGGAATAATGGATGAAAATTGAACAGGGAGAGATTTAACCTGGAAATAAGGATAATTTTTCTGACAGTGAGAGCAATCAATCAATGAAACAGCTTGTCTTCAGAAATTGTGGGAATTTTATCATGGAAGCTTTCAAGAAGAGACTGGATTGCCATTTGTTAAAAATGGTGTAGGGTCTGCTTGGGTGGGTGGGTGGGAGGTTGGACAAATGACCTACAAGGTCCCTTCCAACTCTGCATCTGAGTAACATCCCGCTGGCCATCGCCACTCTGCCTCCCCCTGCCCCACAAGGTCAAATTATACCCTAATATGGCCCTCAATAAAAATGAGTTTGACAACCCTGCTCTAAGGAAATAAGCATAGGCTGAGTTCATACAACATGCTTAAGCCACCGGTTTGCTAGCCTTGAGTTAATGGGTGAGTTTTGTAATAAGCAAGTTGTAGTGTACGTAGTAAATCATGGTTTAATGTAATGTGTGACCCAAGTCATAAGTCCTAAAAAATAATTAGGTAACAATTTCAATTACCATTCAGACAGAAATTTACACAAATTATAGCAACATAGCTGAGATTCTTAAGCACAGGTCTCATTACATAGACATAGCTCATGACCATAAATTGTAGCTATCCAATCAGATTAAAGTTTCCCATTTTAGGGGATGTCCTTTGAAAGCAAACTATTTTCTACCAAAGTGGACCAACACTGAAGCCAATCAAATGGGCCCCCTCTCCCCTCATTGGATAGTATGTTGTGAAAGACTGTCAGTTCCAGTGTAGAAAATGGTGGAAGATATCAACAGTCACCATTATAAAAATAAAACTGCAGATAAGTATATGAGAAATTGCCTTTATAGGTAGACATAGAATGGATCTCCAGATTGAGAAATAGAAACAAAACATATTTAAGGAAAAAAGTCCAGTCCTCTTTTGCTTTTATAGTTCTCATCACTTTTACATGCTGAATACATGTAAAGAGAGATAAGTCTAGTAAGCAGCTCAAGGAAAAGCCGTACTCTTGTTATAATTCTCACAAAATATCAGACTGTCTCTGGGTTTCAATAGTTGTTGTAGACAGCAGTACAATAGACAGTAGTACAGTTGCTATGTTCACAATGCTGGTTTCTGCACTGATATTGGACTACTTTTTAGTTAAATCAAGGGATTCAGGAATTGTAGTCCAACATACTGGATGAATATCAGTTTGGAAAATTGGTTTATCAGTTATAATGAATTCGAACACTCCAGCCCGGAGGTCAGAGAGACGATGCAGTCTTCAGTGAAGTTTTAATTAAAATGGCCACAGCAAAGATTTTATGAAGGGAAAGGAAACATATGTGCTACTCTAATTTCTTTATAAAAATGGTAATCAGATTTTAAAAAGCCCTAAAGTTGCCCAATATAACAAGCACGACTTTTTCTGAGCTATGTTTTTCATACTCTCCGGATTCCTCTCCCCACCTCATGCAAAGGAAACATGAGACCTTTACTGTTAAGTAGAATTTTAAGACAAAGTATGTTTCAACCTCCATATTCCATATTGTCTTTTCCCATTGGTCCTTAATTTAAATGTGATAAACAGCATACTTGAGATTATCCTGCTTAATCTTTAACAAAGCTGTGGAATGGGCTAAATGAGTTGCTTGCTTGATCAGAGAGCTAGCATAAGATTACAGAAAAAGCAAGTGGAGATCTTAAATGTCTTCTGTTCCACACTTAGAGTTCCTAACTATACAGTACCTTAAATATTTAGTGCCCCCTGGTGGCCAGCTGATTGCATTTATATATTGTCCTTTTGCTTATGAAAATAAAGTAGACGCCTGAAACTTAGGAGAGCGTAAACCAGCCCATTGTGCCTTCCTCTTTTCATTTCTAGCACTGCTTTTTACACAGGACTGCTAATGGCACATGGTGTATGGGCATTTTAAACAACAGTTTCTTTCCTGTGTCAAATCAAAACCTATTTTTTTTGTTATCTCATGGATGTGGGGTACTTTTGTTCAAAAACTAATCGGCATTTATAATTATTTCACACAGACCTTGTTTGGCTGTCTTTTTTTAGAACCTAGATATCAACAGACAAAGGAAACTTGGATTTCTCCAAGCAATTTTAGGTGATGATTTCAAAGTTTAAGAATGACAAAGACATGGCCATAAAAGTGGCTAATGCTTTCGCTTTAGATCATCCAGAATAGCTAGCTAGCTCCTATCTCGCATCTGCACAGTGACACTACAGGAAACTGCTGTTGTTGCCAGCTTAGGTGTCACAGACTAAGCTCTCAACTTGCAATCTAGATTTAGTTAAAAAAAGAAAGGTGGGAGAGTGAGAGAGCAATACTACAGTAATAAAGTGGGCTCACGTAGGCAATTGGTATTTTAATGTCTCTAAGTATTTTAATGTCAATTCCATCAGCTTTAACCAGCACATCTAATGGGAAGAGATTGTGAGACTTACAGACAGCCCAAGACATGTACAGGGCACCAGGTTGCCTGTCGTGAAGCAGAAAATTAACTGAATGGGTGTTGCAGTGACATGTGATTACATATAGCCGTTTCAAGGGGCCTAATGTTACGTAAGATATGAGGAGTCTGTCTTAGCTTTGACTGGCAATAGGAAATTCACAGCTTGAGGAAAGCTGCCTCAGAAGACTGATTCTCAGTCATCCAGCTCATGGTTGTCCCAAACGTGCTTTTTCCCCCCTTCTTTTTTCAAGAGGCAACTGGACTTTGTTTTTCCTTGAAGACATTTCACTTTTTGGATGAGAAGCAAAACACATTCAAGAAAAAACAAAGAAAGTCCAGTTGCCTCTTGAAAGAGAGAGAAAAAAGCACATTTTGAAAAGTTGTGTGAATAGCGTATTAAATGACAGATTAGCTGTCTTCATTTTTAAGACAGCAGGAAAGAGTTTGACATAAATAATCATTGCAGAAATGTTTATAGAATAATTGTCATGATATCACATCCCCTTTGTCCTAAGGCTCCCTTTCCATTTCACTGCACAGGCATACAATGCAAGACAAAAAGGGGGGAAAACAGCTGACCTTTTTATTATTTTTAAAACCAAAGTTAAAACAGCTCTGTCAGATGAGTGAGGTTGGGCTTAAAAGAGCGACATGTGGTCTTGCTTAGAGGAGGAAGGCTAAAAGATCAGACACAAGGGATGATGCCATATCTTTCTCCATGTCAGATGAGGCTGGGGGAAGAAGATTCAAGGGTACCATAGGTTTGCAGCAAATTCCACAAGCCTTGCTCTTTCACTGCACTGCTTGCTCATTAGTGCTGCTGCCAGAGTCCTGGGGCTTCATCACGTCTGGGAGCTCTGGGGGGCTGGAGAAGGGATCGATGCGAAGGCCCTCAAAGACATCTTCTGAAGGGGGAGAAAGACATGGATGAATGGTCCTGTTTTATGTGACATCACTGGTTATTATAAATCCCAAGCCAAAAAGTAAAGATCATGAGAAATCCAAAGCGGTGGCGAACTAGTCAAGCACATAAACTGCTCACACCTATTTTTTTCGTTCAAACAGTGACCGCTTAATCCTGATTAATTCTTAACCAGAAGCAGCATATAAGCGTTTTATTTCTATACCATTCACACTGATGAAGCCACATTTGGAATCCTGTATCCAGTTCTGGTGACCATAATGCAAACAAGATGCTGAGGCCCCAGAAAAGGTGCAGAAAAAAGCAACAAAGGTGATAAAGGTTTGGAGGCTAAATTATATGAAAAACAGCTAAAGGAATTAGATATGTTAAATATTCTTTTTCAAGACGCTACTGGACTTTCTTGTTTTCTTTGAAGACGTTTCGCTTGTCATCCAACTGACAGCTATGACCTAGATGACTGAGAATCTTCACAGACATTAAGATATGTTAAGTTTAACACAGAGAAGTATTCCAATATTTGAAGGGCTACTACAGAGAAAATATGCTTTCTCCACAGCACCTGAGAGTAGGAGAAGCAACAACGGGTAGAAGCTCATCAGAGGGAGACCTAACCTGGAAATAAGGAGGAATTTCCTCGCAGTGAAAATTATTCAGCAGGACTTGTGGCTGATTCATCATTGCAGCTTTTCAAGAAAAGACAACTATTTGTCCAAGATTGTTTGAGGACTCCTGCCTTGGGCAGTAGGGTGGACTAGAATAGGGGTGTCAAACTCAAGGCCCGCAGGTTGCTTAGATCTGGCTCATGGGACCAGCCTGGAAACACCAAAGGACTGGCCCATGGTGCCTCTGCCAGCAAAAATGGAGCGCGGGGGTGTGCGCGCTCCATTTTCGTTCGCATAGGGCTATCAAAACAAAAGGAGAAATGTTTCCCCTTTTGCATTTGAGCATGCAGGAAGGGACAGGAAAGGAGAAAGGGAAAGAGGAAAACCAAAGAAAAAGAAGGGAAGATGGGAAGAGATTAAGGAAGGAAAAATAAGGAAAGAGGGGAAGGAAGAAGAAAGGAAAATGGAGGTAAGGAAGGAAAATGAAGAAGGGTTGAAAGAAGGAAGGAAAAATTATGAGAGGGTGCAAGGGTCTCAGGAAAGTCCTACCTTAGCACTTGGACACATTCTGTGTCACATCCATCCGACCCTCCAAGATCAAACACAATCCTGATGCAGCCCTCAATAAAATTGGGTTTGACACCCCTAGCCTAGAAGACCTCCAAGGTCACCACCAACCCTATGATTCTATGATACTTGGGTGTCAGTAACATTATTAATATACTTTTCTTTTGGTTGCCTGCAAACCTAGGGGAAAAATAGTTGTTATCCCTAAGCAAATCCTACTTGCTTTCATTCTCTGTAACTTTATGATGATTTTTAAAATCAGTTACTTGTTTCCCATCTGAGATAAAATTTATTTCATCACTATATTTATGCCCATCTTTCTGCCAAAACCAAGAGTCCAGGCAAATAAAAGAAGGAATAAAAACAAATAAATTATGTAGGCCTTAAGTGACCCATATCATGCTCAACACAGGATGTTCCAGCCATTCAGAAGTGTTCCGTGGTCAACAATAACCAATTTTGAGCTCAAAATTGTGATTTAAGCTTGAAATAGAGTTAAGAGGCAATAAAATAGAAGAAAAATGTGTTGGGTGTACTCGCTGCCTTGAATTATTTGTAAAAATACTAAAGGCAGGATATAAATAAATATACATTTTTAAAGTGATCCAAACAATTGATTTCAAACTCTTTTAACAGTTATGTTGAGTTCAAAACATTATTCTATTTATTCATCAAAGACCTGAAAGGGACAGCCAAAGATTTAACAATATAGGGGCCATCATGACTTAATACGGCCTTACAGGTTATAACCATCCCTTCCAATTGATTTGGGGGAAGTGTAGAGACACATAGGGGTGATGTTTTATAAATTGTCAATTGTGGCTGCAGTTAGCAGCTGGATTCTGGACCATCTCAAAATTCCAAATGTTTTATTTTCTAAAGCACCAGAAGGCAAAACAAGAATGGGCGGAAATTAATCAAGGAAAGAAGCAACCTAGAATTAAGGAGAAACTTCCTAATAGTGAGGACATCTAACCATTTGGCTTCAGAAGTTGTAGATGCTTCATCACTAGAGGTTTTTAAGTTGTCTGAAATGTTATGGGGTCTCCTGCTTGAGTAGGGAGCTGGACTAGAAGACCTCTAAGGTCTCTTTCAGCTCTTTTCTACTCTGATTCTGATTGAGCAAACTTGCACGGGGCATTTTACAATAATTCACATTATTGTAACTGAGCAGCTTACAATCCAGTGAGACACATGTTAAAATTTATCAACTTCTTGCTTTGATAAAATCTCATTTTCATCCTTAAGGGATTCTGGGGTGTCTGGTCTGTTTTTGAGAATTTAAGCTTCTGGAACAAGACTAAACCACTGGGAGCTGCATTTTTTTTTTTAATGTGAAGGGTAATAGGGATGCAGCTGATGAAGCAATTATGCAAAAATGTGTGGGATGAGCCTCCCCCCCTTTTCTGGAAAGTAGTGATTTTATAAGTAGTTATCAACTTACAACGATTCATTTGACAATTTTATGAAGTTTCAATAGCGCTGATAAAATGATTTAGGGTAGGGTTTCACACTTATGACCACTGTAGGGTCCATGAAGTCACATGATAAAAATTTGGAAGCTTGGCAACCGGCATTACTTTATGGTTTCACCATCCTGGGGTCATGTGATTGCCAGCTGCAACTTTTGTAGGAGGTTTTTGATAAGCAAAGTCAATGGAAGAAGCTGGATTCACTTAACAATTCACTTAAAGGTCATAAATTCAGGTATGACTCACTTAATGACTACATCATCTAGTGATAGAAATCCGTGTCCCAACTGTGGTCATAATTTGAGGACTACTTGTACTTTAGGAAGTACCTTAAGCCTGTTTCAAGGCTTCTATTGCAGTTTGTGTATATTTTTTGCCTCAGTGTAAAATGGTAGATTTCTATGCTGCCAATTTTCAGCACTACTGTGTTTCCTCAAAAATAAGACCTATCCTGAAAACAAGTCCTATCTAGCTTGATTTTTATGCGTGCACCAAATATAAATCCTACCCCCCAAAAAGCCCTAGTTATGATCCTGCCCACTTGCAGCAGCAGAAGTCAGGCAGCAGCGTGTCAGGGGTCGGGGTGTGGGAGGCTTGGCTGCAGTGGTCCTAAGGTAAGCATGTAACACATCCCCTGAAATAAGACATTTTGGAGCTAAAAGAAAATAAGACTGGGTCTTATTTTTGGAGAAACACGGTAGTAGTCAGTGATCAGGGACTCCTGAACCAGATCGGCTCTAAGATGGCAGATGCTAAAAACTCTACATGGCATGTGCTGCAGATACCTGATATATCTAGCTATACATTAACACCACTACTGGAAGCGATCTCCTGGCTGCTTGCCATCTTAAGTGTGGCATTATACCATTACAGTGGGTCTTTTCAAAGGGAGCATCTCAGGCAAAGAATATTCTTCTAAGACAAATTTGGTCAACGCCCTTAGATTATCAGTGAAAACCACTTCCTTGTCACAGGCTCCTAATCTTCAATGGCAATGTTGCGTTTCTTTGGTTTCAAGAAGTATGCAACAACTTCACTCACCACTGGCTCTGAAGGCCAAGCCGACTGTTGCTGGGGCCTGGGGTCGTGCTGTCTGACTGGTGAAGCCGCAATCTCCAAGAGTTTTGCTATCATCCAACAGTTGATCATCCTAGAAAATGTGGTAATTTGAACCAGGATGCAAGAGAAGTCTCTTAAAAAAAAGTCTGGTAATCATGAACTACTACTTAGATGTGTAGTTAAAATCAAAAAATTGGCAGTGAGACTGCAAGCTCTGTTTAGGACATGGTTTAACTGTCCTATGCGCATCAAATTGAGTGGGGCAAAGAAATGAATACAGGTAGTCCTCGACTTACAACAGTTCATTTAGCAACCGTTCAAAGCTACAGCAGCACTGAAAAACGTGACTTATGACCATTTTTCAGTTATGACTTACTTTACTTTATTGATTAGCCTTGGGTCACATCAAAGTGCAAAGTTCCAGACACAAATTATTACTAAAATCTGATAAAAACAATTTAAAATGAAATTGGAATAAAATACTCTAATTTAATATATAAATAAAATATGATAAAATTATATTTCGGCATCACCCGTACAATCTACCCCAATCAGTCCCACATATACCAATCTTAACCAAACCATTCTGCTTAAGTACTGTGTGTGTTAAATGTTATTTTCAGATTCTGGCCGCACATAAGGTAAGTTGTTTTGATATGGGGATCCCAATAGGTCATTCATTTAGTATATAAACCAAGGTACCTGTCTCTCATCCTCTTATACAGGCAACAATCAAATAGGATATGAGCCAGGATTTCTACTTCTGCCACTCCGCAAATGCAGAGGGGTCTATTGTAGCGTATAGAATGGAATCTCCCATATCTGACCATTGTGTCAAGCTGTTCAAATCTCATTCGTGTAAATATCTCCCTAAGATGTTTTGGCAGTTGTAACTTTAAATAGCTGCCTATTTGAAAAGTATGATTGTTCAGCCATTTCAAGTTACCCACCTTACTAAGGATAGCTGTATCATTTTGTGCTTCTATATCCTTAATTCTTTGGGCAGCTGTTTTTTAAAAAATCATTCTCCTATTATGCAAGAGACAGGAAGGCCACTTCTTACAAAATATGTTAGTTTAGCGATCCGGGAGATTTGTGGTTGTGATTTTATTTTCTCTAGTAGATATAACTTGTGCCAGTAGTTATATGCTCTAATTTTGGATAGTGCATGAATTGTATGAATTCCCAATTCAGCTCTAACTGCTGCATGTTTTTAGATCTACACCTGAAATACATCTCAAATGCTAGGAATGTGCTGACCTTTGTAGCATCCCCATGACCAAGTGATCAACATTCAGATGCTTGGCAACTGGTTCAAACGTATGACCATTGCTATGTCACAAGGTCACATGATCACCTTTTGCAACCTTTTGACAAATGAAGTCAATTGGTAAGTCAGATTCACTTAACAACTGTGTTACTAACCTAACAACTGTAGTGGTAAGAACAATTGTGGTAAGAAAGATTGTAAAATGGGGCAAAACTCACTTAACAAATGTTTCACTTAAAAACATATATTTTGGGCTCAATTGTGGCCTTAAGTCGAGGTATACCTGTAGTAAGCAGTCTGAATTTTTCCCCACTAAAACTGCTCTACTTGCAAACCACTGTGCACTGGAAACCATTTGCTATCTTCCTCCTTGCTTTTACTTTTGATCTTACTAAAAAAAATGAAGTATGAGGTTAGAGCTCCTGGGAAATCTACAATCTAAAAATACAACTGGGTGCTGAAGACCCAGAAGATAGTTTATTTATTTATTTACTGGACATATATGGCCCCCGTCTTGTATGACAACTCTAGGCACCTCGCAACAATCCATTAAAAAAAGTTAAAACCAAAAATGTCTTTCCCCCAGGTGCCAACCAATTATCTTCACAGCTCAACTCATATCCTAACCCAATTCTTATGGGAAAAGCCAGGAATTCATAGCTCTCTGGAAGGCTAATAGGGTAGGATCTCAGATGGAAGTATCTCCCCAAAGCAGCAATTTTGTTAGATTCAAAAAATTAATGTAACTTCTGAACTGATCAAGGAGAGCACTTAGCCAGTACAGCAGGTCTTGGTGTAATGCCATAATTTATTAAGAGTCCAAAGGTACAGTACTTTCTATAATAAGTTCCCCATACCTTGTATAATCTCTGTTCTTCTGGAGGCCTTTTAAGAATCCCCTCCACAATTCTTTTCAGCTCATACACTGTACTGGACTCCTTGGCGTCTGTGAAGATAGTTGTCTTGTGACGTCGGATCATTAGAAAGACATCCTGTTGGACAACAGACCATTTCATAATATTAGGCAATCTGTAGCATTTGTAATTGATAGCCATCACTATCAATAATGATAATGACATAATTTTATACAATGGGAAAACCTCAATTTGGTATGTAAGATAGACAATTATTCTCCAAAATATAAAATACAAAGTATATAAAACCTCAGTTTTATTGAACAATTGAGAATTATTCCCAGGTGTTTGCTATATCCACATTTATGTAATATACATAAAATACATGTATACTGTTCAGATTGATTTGCCAAGCAACAGATGAGTCCAGTTTGAAAAAATGGCCTACATTCAGACTTTGTTGTTGCTTCTGAGGTCTTCTGAGTGTCAGCCAATTGAGATTTGCTATAAACAAAACAGCAGTCGTTAACAATTGTATACTAAAATTAGCACTGTCATTTACAACTAGGTTAATACCTCAGAATCCTGAAGTTGTAGTAAATGTAATTGTCCTTCAGGCATTGCCAAGGATGGAGCCATTAAAGATCCTACATTCACAATATACTACAATTCTATTTCTAATACTTGCCAAGTAATAACCATGTGACTAGTTCTTATGGACTATTTTAAGGCTCAGATGAGTATAAGCGTAGGTAGTCTCTCTATTAAACTACATACAGAGTATTCCAGTTGTTTTCTCCAGACAGAATCCAGGATCACAAATGACTATGGCAAGATTGTTCCTCTCTACATAGATATGCAGCTGGGCATGTTAGGTAAAATCACAGAAGGCACTGTAGCCAATGCTACCAGACCCTCCATAAATACCAGAGAATATATAACATATTAGATATTGATCGGTAAGTATATTGGACAAACCCAGTTAATTTGTTAAACAAACCTTGGCTTAGTACAATTTTTGAATCTAACAAAAGGCACCCTGGCAGAAGAATGACAGATGTTAGATCTTCCAGATTGATTTAGAGAATCCAGGCTTCCTCAATGTGATAGATACTCTTCAGATGTGTTGGTTGACAGCTTCCATCATTCACAGCCAGTACCGTAGGAATAACAACAGAATGGCAGCTATTGTAGTCCAGTATATATAGATGGCACGAATTTGGAAAAGCTCTTGCAAAACAATGGTTCAGTTCTCATATATAATGCAAACTTGTATTAGCAACTCTGGTCTTCACATTTGCAAGATTCCCTAAACTATTATTGTATGTTTCTTGATCCTATTTCAGAAGTTATCCAAAGTTCTTTTACTTGTGGCAAATATCTCAATTAGTTTAGATCAAAGTTGCCAAGTTTGGGGACCTCTGGTTTAGATACTTGCCCATTCAGAATGCAAACACTCTGGCAACTTAACTTCTTCCCATCATAAAGGGTAACCTTTCATAGCTAATGTTTAAATCACCCTATTTTACAGAAACCAAGTCTTTGATTCACTCCTAAGGTTCAGATGTTGAACTTGGACTGAAGAGAGTCAATTCAATCCATCTTATTCTACAGCAGGCATCTCCAAACTTGGCAACTTTTGAGACTTGTGGACTTCAATTCCCAGAATTCCCCAGCCAGCATGGCTGACTGAGGAATTCTGGGAGTTGAAATCCATAAGTCTTAAAGTTGCCAAGTTTGGAGACCCCTGATCTACAAGCTTGTAGGAGGAAAAAAGGTAGGATGTAGAGATGTGATGTGATGTAGAGAATCTATTAGTCTAATAGTTAAGCCCCAGGCTAAAAACTATGAATTCTACTACCACCTTAGGCATGAAGGCCAGAAGGGAGACTCTGGGCCTGTAACTCACAAGTTGTTGTTGAAAGAATATAGGAAAATAAAGAAGCATGAGATAGGTTAGCTGCATTGAGATATTTATAAAAATAATAAAGGCAAAGTTAATATGATGAAGAAAGGCAGGTTACAGATTGAATCAAATCCAAAATCATGACATCAGAGTTTATGTACCAAATAGGCCATGACAGTGCCCAAGCTCAAATTCCTCCTGAGACAGGATATTCATAGATAACTTTAGGTGGGTCTCTTATACATATATTAAGACTGAAATGGTATCTTTTACTTCTGTTCAATTGTGTCTGATTCTTAGAAACCACTTGGACAAATCCCTGCAGTTTTCTTGGCAATTTTTCCAGAAATGACTTGCTACTGCCCCTTTCCTAGGGCTGGAAAGAGAGTGATCAGCCCAAGGTCATGCACCTGGCTAAGTGACCAAGGTGGGACTGGAACAGTTTCCCTGTTTCTAGTCTGATGTCTTAAGCTCAACACCAAAATGGCTCTTACAATGTTGCAATCGTAACACTCAGTTATACTAGCCTCTAAACTTAAGAAAACACTGGTTTAACAGCTTCCTTTTGAGTCAATAGGAAGCAGTAATGGTGTTTTAACCATTTCAAGGTAGCATTAACCCCAGCACTTCTTTTTACATATTTTTGTTTACACTTTTTCCAGTGCCAGGGGCCAGATCACCAAGGGTTGATGGGAGTTGAAGTCCAAAGTTCCTGGAGAGCATCTTAAAGGGTAAAAGCCCCAAACTAAGAATTTGGCCAAATTCATTGGTTGGAGGTGACTTCCAGTTTCGTGTAATCTTTTCATACTATGCCCTGGAGAGTAAAAGTATCTAGAAGTTTAGAATTATGTTTGCAACACTGTTAAGAGCTAATTTGTACTAAGTACAGTTTGGTGTACTGGGTACTTTTACCCAGAAGCAGGGAAGCTTTTTACACATTGAAAGTCATTTTTTCTTTATTAATTTTCCATTTTTCCTCGTACAAAGCAGCCTGGATGCCAAAAGCATCCAGGAGCTCCCTTAACTTCCTTGGGAGATCAACCCTTCCAAGCTAAACTTATCTAAAGTCTTTCTAACCGAAGTCTTTTCTGGGTTTCTTTTAAAAATAAACACCAGAGAGAAGGGAATAACAAAACAACTGCAATGAATAAACGAGGGCGGCGTCTTGGAAGTCCCAAGATGGGAGCGCCAGATAGCTCAGCGCCACCCACAGCCACCGGGAAAACCTCTCTGTCTCTATCGCGTAAAACCGGGCTACCCTCAACCTTTCTCGGAGCCCACCTGGCAGGGCTGTTGGGACGATAAAGCGAACTGGGAGGAGGTGAGGGGCGGGCGGGCGAGGAGGAACCAGAGGAAAGCCGATGAAGACCATTCGGGGGAAAGGGAGCTAAGCCGTCTCCTTTCGGGGTGTCGAGAAAGGCGATGCGCGGGGGAGCCCGGATAGCGTCCCCACAAAACGGACCCGGGGAAGAGATCGGAGGGGACGACGGGACGACGAGGAGCGTCCCACGAAAGGGCAGTGGGGACCCCTCTCCCTGGGAAAGAAAGGCAAAGGAGCGAGGACAGTGATTCCAGGAGGGTCGCGGTCGGTCCCGGCCCCGCTCCCGTAGGCGGCTGCCCTCCCCGACTCACCATCTCTGCAGATGCAGCCTCAGCCCAGACCCCCCAGAGAGGAAAAAGCAGCAAAACCCCCGGTTTCCCAACATGCACTGCAATCTCGGTATATAACCCAACCCGGTTTAGGGGGTGAAAGAATACTGTGGCGCATGCGCCCCATTCGACGCTCGCCTTACGGCTTTCGGTCGGAAAAAAAAAAAGACCATAGACGGCCCATAGAAGCGCTTGCGGAAGCAGCCGCCGGAAGAAAAGACGGGTCAACGACACGGAAGCGCTCGTTTGTCATCTTAGGAGAGGCAACCTGAAGCCTCGCCCCGTTTGGGAAGGTCGTCGCGGCTTATAGCGCCGCCACTTTCCAAGGGCTTTCTTTCGTGACTCGACTATTCTCTATGGTTGCTTCCGTTAGAGTGCGGAAGTTAAACGTTGCCTTTGCGGGGTGTTTTTTTTTTGCCGCGGCTTGTGAGTTTTTGTTTTTTCTTTGGAAAGGACTTTAATCTTTTTTTATAAGCTTAACACTGAATGGTGGTGAGAATAAAATGGGAATTGTCTCAAGGAAGTAATTCCCGTTTTAGCGTCTCCGAACTAAAAGTGATTCAAAAGTCAAGTGCAAGGCTCCAAATATTTAATTACGTAGGACGGTGGCTGCCATTTTGAGAAGGGCATTTGTGGCTTGTCTATAAAGCCCCATTTTGTAACATGGAGTTTCATGATTCTGGGCTGCATACTCAGGATTTTGGCTTTTTCAGTGCTTTGCAGCAGCACGCAACCTGTAAGAAAACGAAACCACGTCCCCATCGTTTCCCCAGTTGTGCTGTATTACAGATCATTGAATTATCGGGAAATACTTTAAAAAATAGGGAGTTGTGTTTCTGTACACCTAAAATAGGTTTTATCACACCTGCCTTTAATGTAATCTTAATGTAAACCTTCTCCCAAAAATTCAAACACCAAAATGAACCCAAAAGAACAATGGAAACACTAATTAAATTTTCAAAAAGGTGGGTTTATTGCAAATATGTAGTCAAGAGGTTCTTCACATTGTTGTAAGAATTATCCTTCTGGGTTCAGTTCCAAGTGGGGAAAAAGTCACTGGAAACATGGAGGCTGCTTGGAAAGATGGTTTAATGGAGGAGACTACATGGCTTGGAGCTCCAAAGAAGGAAGGATGATCACATGCTTCAAGGTGAAGGAAGATATCAAGAAGGGCTGACATGCTGAGGTGCCTGGTTTTTATAACCTTTGTTGGGATTTGAATTGGAGCTTTCTGATTGGTTGTCAGATTCCCATGGGGCCATGCAGGGGCAACTTGTAGGCTGTCCTGAGTTTCAGGCTTGGGTGAGCCTTGTTGGATGATGATGTGCTGAAAAGGGCTTTTGGCAATTGCTATAGTTTTACCTGGATATGTAGTAAGTACTTTACATGTACTTATGTAAAGTATTCTGGTCCAGGCCTTAATGCCCCACCCATTAACAAAAGTGGGGGAGACTTTCTACTTCTGAAGTGAGTTTCTGCTTCTGAGTTTCTACTCTTTTTAGATGAAATATTCTGCCTTTTTAATATTTCCAAGGCTATTTCAATTTTCTAGGAGAGGGGTGGATGATCTTCACCTTCCAAGGGAGGTATGCTTCACAGTTTGAGAGATATGCCTTATTGGGGTAGGTTGCCACATCTGAGTCATCCTAACATTTTGTTTGCCAAAGAAAAAGCTGCATTTCCATGTATATCTACCCTGTTTCTCCAACAATATGGCCTCCCCCAATAGGAAGTCCCAGCATGTTTTATAGGCATGAAATGAAATTAAGCCCCTCCCCCCAAATTAAGGCCTATATTAAAACATGCGAAATGGGGGGGGAATGGCAGGGGGGCTTGCTGTTAGGAAGTACTTTTGTTGCACACCCAGATATGGTGCTGCCTGCGTAGACCCTGATACAAAGTGCCCCTCCAACGCCGAGGTCAACATCCAAGCCGTCGCCGCCTGCCTGCCTGAAGATGCAAGGGGGGGGATTAAGTCAACCCCCGAAAAGACGGCCTAGCCATTTTGGAGGGGCTCAAAAAAAAAAAAAAAAAGACCCGGCCTTATTATATGAGAAACATGGTAGTACATTTCCAATCTGTAACTATAATGCAGTAATATCTTTGACTAATAGCCCATAATGTAAATTGGATTTGTCATTTAAGGCTATAGGAATTCAAAACTTCTGTTTCCTCATTTTCTGAGTAGCTTAGCATACTGAAGAAAGGACTTGAAAGTTCTCTTCCCCCCCAATAGGTAAGTTTTCCAACATAAAAATATTGTCATCTTTCCACAGTCAAATGTGATACAGCTCATACTACTGATAGTGCTCGATGAACTTCACTAAAATAGAATATCAGTAAGAGATACTTGGATATTTGTTATCATCTTCAACTCTTTAGACAGTGGTCAGTTTAGCAGTCTGTGCTAAATCAAACATTGTGTACAAAATACAATTGTTTGGATTCACAACATGTGCTAAGCAGAGCCCAAACTACATCATGCACCAATAGATTCTATGGCCCCAGTTGAAAAGTACCATAAACATTGTGTACAAAATACTGTTGGAAGAATTATCCTTCTGGGTTCAGTTCCAAATGGGAAAAAAGACACTGGAAACATGGTGGCTATTTGGAAGGTTTGATGATGGACAGGACCACATGGCCTGGAGCTCTTAAAGTGAAAAGGAAGGATGATCACATGCTTCAAGGTGAAGGAAGAGATCAAGAAAGGACTGATAATGCTGAGAGTGGGTTTTATAACCTTTGTTGGGATTTGAATTGGAGCTTGTATTCTGATTGGTTGTCAGACCCCCATGGGGCCATGCAGGAGCAACTTGTAGGCTATCCTGAGTTCCTGGCTTGGGTGAGCCTTGCTGGATGATGATGATGCACTGAAAAGGGCTTTTGGCAATTGCTATAGCTTTACCTGGAGACCTTTGTTATGTAAAGTATTCTGGCCCAGGCCTTAATGCCCCACCCATTAACAAAGGTGGTAAGTTTCTGCTTCTGAGCTGAGTTTCTGCTTCTGAGTTTCTACTCTTTTTAGATGAAATATTCTGCCTTTTTAATATTTCCAAGGCTATTTCAATTTTCTAGGAGAAGGTGGGTGCTAACTTCCTACAATACAATTGTTTATATTCATATGTGGTAAGTAAAACTAAGCAACATCCGGCACCAATAGGTTGTATGGACCCACTTAATAATGGAAAAGTACATTGGACTGCCTAGAACAGGGTTGGGCAAACTACGGCCCGCGGGCCACATCCGGCCTGTTGGTCTGTCCAATCTGGCCCGCCTCTGAAAAAAAATTGCTGGGCGTGGCGAATTGCCCTGCGCTGCGTGGCCCCCAAAGCTGCAAAACAGTGCAGAGTGCTCTTGCGGTAGGAAAGAAAAGAAGAACTTTGCAAAGGCCTCAGCTGGGAGTTTGAAATCACCTTCGAGTGCAACCTCCCTGAAGGTGAGTCCCCGCCAATCCCCCTCTTTTTTCCGGGGCTTCCAGGCTTAAACTTTGCAAAGGCAAAGTTTTCAGGCGGGAGCGTCTTCCCGCCAAGGAGCGGGAAGAGTTCCGCCCGGTGGGCGGGCTGCTTGGAGGAGGCGACCCGGCAGCGCTCTCGGTTTCCCCTGTGCCGCGCAGCTCGGGGCCAGGCACGAGCGCCCGTGAGGAAAAAGGAAGCCGCAAGTTGCTGGGAAGTTGCTCGGGCTTCCGGGGCTTCCAGGCTTAACCTTTGCAAAGGCAAAGTTTGCAGGCGGGAGCGTCTTCCCGCTGAGGAGCCTTCCTTTTTCCTCGCGGGCACTCACGCCTGGCTCTGAGCCACGCGGCGGAGGGGAAGCCCGAAGTGCCGCCGGGTTGCCTCCTCCAAGCAGCCCGCCCGCCTGCCGGGCGGAACCCTTCCCGCTTCTTGGCGGGAAGACGCTCCCGCCTGAAAACTTTGCCTTTGCAAAGTTTAAGCCTGGAAGCCTCGGAAACCCGAGCAACTTCCCAGCAACTTGCGGCATCCTTTTTCCTCACAGGCGCTCACGCCTGGCCCCGAGCCGCATGGTGGAGGGGAAGCCCGGAGTGCCACTGGGTTGCCTCCTCCAAGCAGCCCGCCCACCCACCGGGTGGAACCCTTCCCGCGGCGCTCCGGGCTTCCCCTCTGCCGCGTGGCTCGGGGCCAGGCGCGAGCGCCTGCGAGGAAAAAGGAAGCTGCAAGTTGCTGGGAAGTTGCTTGGGTGCTGGGAGCAGCCATGTTGTTGCTGTCGTGGTGAGCGGCTCGTCGGGCGCGTACGCGAGGAGGAGGGCTTTTAAAGTGCCGCCCGAACAGGACCGCTGAGCCGGGAAATGGGGCACCAAGGCAGGGCAAGGCTCCACCAGCAGCGGCCTAGCTTTAGGTGGGCTTGGATGCCCCTGAGTGCAGTTTGCTGTTTGTTCTCTCCTGGGACTCACGATTAGAAAGTGTGGAAAGTAGTAGCAGGAGCAGCCGTGGTGTTACTTTGCTTCCGGAAGCTGCTCTTTTGGAAGAGCGCTTCGGTGATCGGACCTTGCCAGCTCGGGAGCAATTCCAATTTTCGCTAACCTCGGTAGCGAAATAAAATCACCGAGTCAGTTCAAGCCTTGCAAACTGAGACTTAACTGGCGGGCAAAGAGCTCCTTTCCTTGCCTTCTCTCTTCCCCCTTGAGCGGAGGAAATGGTGTTGGAGAATTGCTTGCTGTAATTCGAAATTGAAACTTCAGTTACCCTCCCCACCCAACTAATTTTCAGTAAGTGCCACTGACTTCAGCATTTGGTTGATTTGATCGAAGCTAAGTATTAGGTTTTTTTGTTTTCAAGTTCAAAGAGATCGTGGTTTGGAAGGGGTTTTGTTACTGTTGGGGGGGGGGGGGGAGCTTTGAAGACCAAAATTTTGAACGTTTTATTTATCTGCATTTTATAATGGGCCCTTTATAATGGCCTTTTATAAAATTGGTTCAGCCCTCGAACGCAGATCTGATTTTCCATGTGGCCCCCGACAGAAGTTAATTGCCCACCCCTGGCCTAGAAGAAGCTAGGTAAAGTGCAAATGTTTTAAACAATTTTAAAACCAAGACTTAGAAGTGCTGCAATGGAACAAAAACACAGAGTAACCAAGTGCTTATATTTATATATTTCACCACCAGATGGCAGAACATACTTTAGTATCTTAGATCTTATGTGATAAGTGGGATTT